TATTCGCATGACATCGAACGCCAGGCCGATGCTGCTGCTCACTGTAAACACAGACAATCAGCTTTAAGTCGCCTGTTGACTGGTTCCACAGTACGAAAGGCCATCTGCTGCCAAGCTTCAATAATCGGTCATATTTTGAACAGCTTCTTGTTACCACTAATCAAAAATAAGCTATGTCTACCTTAATATTATGTAACGGCCAAAGTAATAACTTTCGGGAAGTTATCCAAAACATATACGCCCCCTGGTTTTCCGCCTGTGCAATTTTAAACTTGCTTGCAGGCTGTTTAAAGCGCATTTCAGTGACGCCAGCTTGTGCGGCACTTGCGGAAAGGCACTCAATAAAAATTACATAGCAGCAGGAATATAATTCTAACAAGACAACCACACCACTCATTTGTCTATATCGATTATAGATCAGTTGTCTGTTAACAAGGAAACAGGCATAAATTGTTCAGCCAGCGGTCACTGTCTTCCACTTTATACTGTCAAATTCTTCTGACCAAAAGCTCATTATAAAACATTCAGCTACCGCTTTCATGACGTTGGTTACATTTTAGTTGCACAAGGAAGATGGCGTGAAGGTCGCCATCAACTTACCCAGCGAAGCGAAGTGAGCTACTACACATCTTGACGCAAATAGACACCAGAACATCGTCTAGTCTACAAAGCATATAATTCCTAAATAACTGGACTGAACGGCTCGTTCCAAGTCGCTTGCTATGGAACACTTTAAGCCGGATATAACCACGTGATTTTTAAGTTCTAATAGACTTATCGTATCGTCCAATGTATTATGAGTATGGTCGGTACTTCCTAATGATTACTGAGTTATTGGTACGTTAACATACTCCAGAGCATGACACATAAGTTTGCTCGTTCTGTTACATGCTTCGCTCGACAGAAAAACGGTGCTGCAACGGAAGATATCCTCAGAGTGGTGGTTTCTGGTGAAGGAGAATAAGAAAAACTGATCGACTGGCGAACTGGGATGGCTAACGGTGTCCTGCTTGCACTATTCTTAACCCCAACACTTGTGATTAAGGCAGAGCTGAGTCTGAATAGAAAGTTATCTGTGTTCAAATGGATGTTCATCCCCCATGTTATAAGTTATGTTTAATGACCGAAAAATTTCTATCCGACATTTGAGCGGCTAAAATAGACCTTCTGAAATGAATCTCCGGGCTCACACCTCTCAACATGGTCCGTAGCTATGATATCTGGGAAAACCGTTGTCCACAGCAACTGCTTCTCCAGCCTGACATATGACAACTGCGATGATGTGGGCACGTCGTGAAAATGCCTCCAAAAAAGCAAGCGAAACAGAAACTAGTTGCTAAACCGACCAGTAAAAACCGGGGGAACGGCTAAGAATGACCAGAGGCAAGGATGTTGACAGACTCTGCTCGAAAATCTGGTTATCTTTTGTTGGCGCAGGATCAAGAACGTTGAAGGCACTGTCTGCTGCAGCAGCTTCCGAGACCCGATAAGAAAAGTCATCAACAAAACTGACTGACTGACCAATGGCCGAGATTAGTTTTGTTTGCTTAATTCTGATGTTCAGGTATTTTAGAACTATTGTTTATGAACATTCTTGATGACGCTTTGGTATCTGAAACAGAAAAATCGGAATGAACTAAATGATGATTATATTTATTATATCTTTCGAAAAGACAGTACCGCTTTTGCAGGTATGTTAATGTTGGAAAACAATATCTGAGACTGA